TGCCATGGCGCAGAGCCATAGTCCCCCAGCACCACCTTCTGGAATCGGCCATTGAGATAGGAGCGGAACCACTGCAAAGTAGTGCCTCCGACCCCCAGTCCCGCTAGCCTATCCAGAAGGATACCATGGTCGATGGTATCGAAAGCCACTGAGAGGTTCAGGAGAACCAACAGGGACGCACTCCCCCTGTCCTTCTCCCTGCACAGGTCATCGTACAGGGCGACCAAGGCAGATTCAGTACCATACCCGGGTCTGAAGCCGGACTGAAATGGGTCCAGATAATCAGTTTCATCCAAGAGAGCTTGGCATTGTCCCGCCACCACCCACTCCAACACCTTGCCCATCTAGGTTCTTGCCGTCACGAAATGCTGCAGACTGCATGGGGGACATTCCCATTCACAGCAAATGCCAACGAGTGGGTTAGGTTTAGGTCAATCGGGACTCCTGCAATGTTTGATTTATGCAGGTTTGCCCACTTAGGAATTCTCTCCCTGTCTGGGGCACAGCACCCCTGAGGGGATGCCTTCCCAATTATACCACACAGAGTGTTGATGAACTGGTCACCTCACAGTCTTTTCTTTCTAAGGAAAAGGAGGAAGCTAAACAGAGCAATAGGTGTGAAACTGGTTGCATTCAAAACACATCCTTATGGGGAACGCAAGCCAAGCCCCTGGGATTTATATTTCTTGCTGGCCATGCCCAGGGATTCAGAAAATGGCCCAGAGAAAAAGCTGAAGCAGCTTGCTTTGCTGGGAAGATATTTTCCTGGAAAGAAATGTAAGCAATTTAGAACTGATTCCAAATCAAATGCTCAAGGTGGCTTTTGCTGGAATAGGGAATAAGGTAGGGTCCCCCCCCCCCCCGCTCCACCTGCACTGGTCTCAAAGCAAGGTGTTGCACTCACACCCATCAGCAATATCCATGTTGCACAGAGTCTCACTGCAGAAGGCCACAATCCTAGCTCCTGGCCCATTCCCTTCTCTATAACCATGGAATGTTGGTGATTTCCATCTTTCTCCCATTCCAAAAGGCTTAGTTATCAGCAGGCAGAGTTCCAAGCTAAACTATGCCAGTATTTCTAGCATTTTGGCCCTGCTGCTTTTGTCTGTGGGCATGCCCACCTTTGGAATGCAGTCCAAGAGCCTCTCTAAAATTGGGCTGAATGTGGATGGAGACTCCTGTGTCAAAGGACTGCCACTTAGGCATGGGAATTCTTGACTTCGGGGGACATGTCACCATTTGGGATTTCACTCAAGCAACAAGCTATCACAAGCAAGACTATTTGGCCGGTCCCAATATTTGACTGCCACACCAAAGTTCAGTTCCAGTGAAAAGAGCAAAGGGTTCTGCAATGCCATGCTTGGATAGCACAGTCACAGAAAAAGAAAGGGATTCTTTGAGCTGGCCAACAAAAGAAGTGGGAGTCTACTCTGTCATTTTCATATCCCTCCACCTCCTTGCCTGGGCCACCACACAGTAGCTTTTTCTACTGCTGCTCAAGGAGGAGATAATCCACAGCAGGACAAAAATGTCACTGCCTATAAGGGAAACAAAAGCAATTGCAAAACTTTTATCCTTCACACACCCAGTTAATATTCCTTTTCCCTGTATCTGTGGATTTCCTTGGGTTTTTAGACACTGCATGAAGATCAAGCACGAATACATACATGGCTGCTTTAAGATTTTTAAATTTGTTTCTGAAACCAAATGCCCTCCTCTCCCCTGACACTTTACAATAAGGGATGCAAAAGGCAAAAAAAGCAAACAGGCTCCTTCAAATGCATTCCTATTTCAGAGCATACAAAAATTTGCATAGGTGTGCCTGCTAGGTTTCCCTGAAGAAGTGGCTTGTCAGGAAACAAGCTATCAAAATGCTAATGATGCAGGGATTTCCTTGATGAAATCTCCTCTCTGACATGCTCCAGGATTTCTAGCACCATTTTTCCATCATCAACTGAGTACAATGCGGGTTTCTCCAAGGTAAGCATATAGGAGAGCAACCAAAGGGGCGGGATATAACTCTAACAAATAATTAGCAGTTAAATTAGATTAGCAGTTAAACGAAATGAAATTACTTATTTCTATTCACAACTCCGGAAGTAAATCAAACATCACATTTTCATATGTTAAATAGTAACCATATAGCTACGGGGCAATCCTATACATATCTACTTAAGAGTAAGTTCCAAATTGTTCTAAATTTTAGAACAACAGGGATTACTGCCCGGTAAGTATGTGTTCAGTTGCACAGAGATGGCTCTTAGGGTGCATTTCTAGCCATGACAACAAAGACATAACTCACACTAAGTTCAATAGGATTTACTCCCCAGCAAAGTGAGTCTTAGAATGCAGCCCCAACGTGGCAAAAAGCAAGGCAGGCATAAGTAAAAATTACACACATCTCAATTCTCCTGTAAATTCCACCTCCACCTCCCCCCCCCCCCCCCCCGCCCCGTAGCTTCGATAGCTTTTCTGCCCAGCTCGATGTCATCACGATCATCATTAGGGCTGCGATCGCATTGCATTCACATCGCACCTTTCCTCCCTCTCACGATGAAGCGGCTCTCCCCGCTGCGTTTTACAGCCCCCCAACAACAACCCTGCGAGGTGGCCCAGGCGGAGAGTCGGAGGGCCGGAGGGCCTGGCGGCTCCGCACTGAGCGCGAAGGACGCTCCGGGAAGAGGCCCTCGATCCACCAGCCCCGAGCTCCGCTCCCTCGGCGGAAGCACCTTCTCCCCGCCCGGCCCG